TATATAACCCAGTTTGTGCTTTACACAAAAAGAAGCCAATGAAACCTCGCTGATGATTACCAGTTGGACGCGTAATAAAACGGATGTGTGACCCCGATCGGACTATTCGGACTCAACAGATTATGTATACATATCATGCCGTATAATAATAATAATAATATAATAATACACAATACATTTATTGTACATTATTATTATTATTAATTGTGTTTTATAATATCACACTAATATTTTCTTTACAGTATTCCTGATTGACGAATCTTATCTAAACTCTTCAGTTCTAGCTAACTAGATATCTTCGTGAGAAACTTACCGCTGCGGTCTGTTCAGAGGCACTAGAATGAGAGATTTCTGCTGAAGAAGAGACAGGACGTCGTCTCCTGGGAACACCATCGAGCCACGGTCGTGGCAGGTTGCCACTCGTCAGCTCGCCTGATACGCCACCAGATCGAGAGAGTCGACACAATCAGTAAAAATCGCCACCGATAAAGATGCCCAAAGGTATATATTATTTGTATATTAAATCACGAACGCGGATATGATATTGCGCAGGCATATGCGCTGAGATAGACAAACGAGCATTAAACGTATGCAAACGAGATTGTCACCACACGGAAGCTCATCTTAAAATTTGAAGTTTCCTTGTTTTGCCGGCTCTCTTCCCGGTGCCCCATGACATGCGCGCTATTTTTGTGTCAGACTATCTTACATATGTCCAAAAATGACCGCGTTTACTGCATATACTGACTAACCCAGCCACACGGACCTTCAGTTAACACAGCAATTGGACAGTTTCCAGTTTCGCTTCTTCTGCTGCTGTGGGGAAAGGCTCTTGACGCCAGCTCGTTTAGCCTTTGATGTCATCCGTACTAGAAAACACTGTCAGCACCGTAAACGTTCAACATCAGAGACGAGAAAGATACCGAGCGGCTTACCATCCACGCGCGGCCGCACATGAGATCGCGGCTGCAGTCGCCTCAACCGGGCAGTTCGTAGCAGCCGGAAATGCCGCTACAGCCGCTTGCGGAAAATGAAAATTCGCTTTTACACCTACATGGAGTACTTTAGCGCTTCGGCGTTCTCAGGTGCTTGTCTATTCAGGTATGTGTATGTGTATTACGTGATGTTACAATAATAACAACAGCACCATTAAAAACAACGATAGCAAATCAACAACTTGTTCAAAAGGAGGTACTGTTGCCGAAAGACGTTTTCCCTTCAGAAAGAAAGTTGGCATTTGCGATAAAGAAACGAAGTACACAAAGAGTTCCTGCGAGAAGGGGCATGTGTCAATTACTTGCGTAGTGTGCCATGATCAATCGACATCTCCTTTCTGTAGAATATAACATAAGAAAGCAACCATTAGCAAGAAAACTAAAACAAAGGTTATAGGCTGTTTGTTAAAAGCTTTTGACGGCGGGGTACTCTATAAAATGAATTGTGAATCTGTTCGTAAATTTAGAATTTAATCAAACCAACTTTCAATGGCTGCTATAAAGGTTTAACGAACTAACGGTCATTTATGGTATTAACTGTGTCGCATTAGGACTGCTGAGGTCGGCGACACATCCGCCTCTTGATGGGGCCATTTCGGCGACATGCCGTTGATCGCTGGATAAGGATGTAATTGTATGTTAATTACTGTATTCTTAATCGCAGGAAGGCTGGTCTCTCACAGTTCAAAACAAAGTTGTCATTGGCCAAAAAAGCCAGACCTGTGTGTAGTAGAAACAGAAGACCGGTACAACACCTTTGTTTTTTTTTATACCTTCATTTTCCCTTTACGGGGCAAGCTTTTCAGCGATGGATGTAGTGTTGTTTGCATAGGCTAGAGAAGAGATGATACTTCTGCAGCCAAGGAGGAGAGTTTTTTATATTTGAACTTTGTTCGCTGAAATACGTGCCGACAAACGCTTTGCATCTCTGAGCTACACTTTAAATGGTCCGGCTTTTTCCGGTTAGCAGGACTGCTGGCTGATAGAAATCTGGCCTGAACTTGAGTACGATTGGCTGTTCTTATGCCTTGTTGTTTCTCTATTTCTCAATTTAGATTTGTTTGTTCTCGTATCTATTTGTGTCAATTGATTTGGGTAAGTATCTACGGTACTGATTAAAATTATAAATCCGGCTCTCAGCCATATATATATTTCTGGCGTCAATGGGCGGATCGAGTCAGTTCGAGAGTGCAAGTGAAATGAAGTAACTAGATATGGCTCACTTTGAAGATTTAGCACTTAGCCTATTTCTATTTAGCCTACTAAATTTTTTATCAAATATACTATCGAGACATATAAGAACACTGATGATTTCACAACGCATCACGAAATCACGAGGCGATATTAAGGGAATCGTTACTGAATCGATTACGCTGTGTTCTGTTAAATGTTAGCCATACGACGTATTCAATTGATTAGCATTGGGCCATGAGCTCAAATTTAATCGATTTATAATTTTCTATACATGTTATGTCGCACGCAACTCCAACAGGCGAAATAGGTTTATTGAGAGTAAAATCTTGAGGTTCTATTCGAAGCTTTAACATGTCGTAGGTTGCTGGTATACTAAACACGTAACTCTACCACTCGTTTTCTATCCCTTCGTTGGTCTTCGCGTGAACTGTACTCGGTCCACGCTTGCCAGGATACTATTGAGCTAGTAAGGATAAAAACAATAATAATATTATCACAACTTCTTGACGAAATGCTAACTAAGTGGACCACATGATTTCTTCAACTATTACCGCGCTCAGCTCATCTCTAATCCACCAGCTTTTTCTTATTTCGGAAACAGGTGACGACCAAACACAGGTCTATGCTATGGGAGGCTTGAAACACCAAAAATGATGCACAGATTTCGAATACACGCACACACGTATATATGCATAGCTGAGCACAATTGGGCACAACATCGGCACTGTCCTGAATTGACGTTCGCAGGTTGCAAATACCGTTTGTAAACGATACGACCCCATACGAACGTTACACAGGAACATATTGGAAACACCTTGAGCGAATAGTTGAACGCAGAGCATCAAATGAACGATGTTTCACCTACCATGATGTGTTCTGCCTGTGATCGAGCCGCGGTTGAAGACTAGTTTAAGAGAGCTGGCCATGCCCGAGTCTGACTACGAAAACGGCCCTTTCTCTTCCTTACGCGCTTCCCCTCAACAGCTGGGCCTAATGCTGTTGATGTTGTTATCGTTGCCTCTGAAAAAGACGAACGAGCAAAACAAGACGCGGGCCCAAAAGGAGGCCATGTCGAAGATGCCGCCAGTAAGGGCCCTCCGTGTATTAATGTCTGTGTGTCGCTCTGTCGGTCTTCGTTCAGGTCCCATCGACACAGAAGCAGCCATTGCATCTGCAGAAGAAGCACAAGTTGTGGTTGTTTTATTATAGTAGCGCGTGGTAGCGCGAAAAATCATTTCCCTTGTCTCCCGTGCTTCAGTCGATCTGTCTGTTCTTCCCGCTTCGTCTGTGAACATCGCTTCACGTTCGTCTCTTTCGACTTCGTTGCTTTTGCTGTAGTGACTGTTGTGGATCATTCAGGCCGCTGGTTTCGGCTTCTGTCTAAGCCATTGCGACAAACCGCGTCCGACATCTATTGAGGAAACGCTACAGCAGTCGTAGGCTTGTTGTTCGAGGTCTAAAGTTCTAATACGGCCGTTTATGTATAGTTACTGACTGCCGCCGCTTCGAGCAGTGGCAACAGCAGTAACAGTTGACGCCGTAGCTTGCCTTCTATAGCGGTTCAGTTCTGTTGAGTAAACGCTGTCAATCCGCCGGCTGGCCTCTGTTCTTGAGCATCCTTCTTCCCCATGGATGAACGGACCCATCGGCTCCATATCACCCCCGTGTTTATCTTGCTTCCCACAGTCACCGCCACAGTTGCGGCGATGGTTCGCTTACGTTGTCTTTGCTTAGTCGCTTTCGCCGCCGTCACTACTTCGGGATGTTCCGGAAGTGAAAGTGAACGCAAAGTAGCGCGCTGCTGGCAGTGTTAACTAGAACTGGCGTAGACGCGAAGTCGACACCGGGTCGCCCGATCTAACCACGCTTCGCGTCAGATCGTTGAATAGACGTTACGGGCACTTCTGATGAAGGCGGTATGTTGGTATATGTGTGTCGGTCTGTTTGTGGCTGAATGTTCTCGTAGGAGGAACGCTTGTAGGACATCATCGGCGAAAGCAAACGCAGCAGTTAAACGAGAAGTGGCAAGTAACAGTGAATTAGCAATGTGTGTTACGTCAGCAGCAGTAACAACATCAATAGTAGCGTCAAATTAATATAGAGTTTCATCTAATGTTGCTGCTGTTTGTACTGCTGGTGCTGCTGGGGACGATGATGATGATCATGTTAGCCGTGTTTACCCTGTCGGGTTACTAGCAAGACTGGAACATTATTTGTTTGGTACTGTAGATAACCACGAATCTGTAACGTATACGTTCAACACCATTTAACGATAGCACTTCACGGCTAATATAACTATTACATAAATAATTATAAATAATAATAGCTATTACATAAATGTTTTTAGTTTTATATTTGGTGTTACTGCTTTATTAAAGTATTACACTTTCCAACAGCTGGCGACACCTTGCGACGGTACGAAACGAATCTACACGCGGTTCCGAACTTAGACGATTCCTCACATAGAATTTCCAGGTATAATAGACAGACACGTACCGTTAAGCTATCGCGTAAAAGTTACAACCACTAATAATCTACCACTTAAACTATTAACAGAGAGAAACAGATTAGCGCCAGGCAAAAGCTGACTGAGCCCGACCTGAGTTGTCCCCGTCGAATCAATACGCTATTGAGTTCCTACTACTACCGTGGCCGCTCATATTGCGCGTTCAAACCACTCCATCCTGCCGTTAATGACGCCGTTAGCATTAGCCCAGCTATTCTATTCTTCAACAACAAAAGCGGCTTCGATTCCGTGAGTC